AATTGTTATGGACATTAACCAAGACAATCATGTTATGGACATTCCCATTGACCCTGGTATTGGTAATGACACTACAATAAAGGTAGTGTGGGCATGTCCATCTATTGCCTTTATTTATTTTACAATTGATTAATAATATACCTGTATATGATAATTGATTCATCGTGAACCTAGTCACTTATTTAAACATAATTTTAAAATTACTTGTTTCAAAACATTTTTCAATTAATAACCTAGTTAAACATCATAGGTAAAATCGCAAGATATCAATATGCTGGAAATTAGGATCACATCCCCATCCGGTCGCATATATGACACAGCGAGTGGGCAGTTAGTTATGGATTTGAACATAAAACGTGCTAGCTTAAAATTCCCCAATTGTGAGCCGGGTCACTTACGATTACGACTGTCCAAACAGCATAATGTCTACAAGGCTATCAAGGCCTTGGTAATCATAGAAAGTAAACCGAGATATAACAGTGCCATTGTTCTGAACGTATGCATAAGGGAACCGGACGTCGACTTTCCACCAATAATCGTGTGTCGTCTCCATAAAGCGGATGAACCTGTTTTCGGGGCTGTGGTGACGGCAACAATAGGTAGTCCAACTATGACACAGATGGAATTGCAGTTAAATCGCCACCATACGAGCGGTTATTATTACAACTATTTTACCGATTATTGCGGTTCCGGGAGATATAACATTAGTGTATTGGCCACCAGTAATGGACATACAGATAAATGTAATTATTTTTTTACTTTTATATTTCTAATAAAATTATACAGTAATACAAGTCTAAAGATACGGGAGCCAATGTGTGCGAAAAGTGAAAAACTAGCCTTGAAAAACTTTAAAAAATATAATGCTTAATAGTTTTATTTTCTTAACAGTAATATTAATACTTGAATGTTTATAAAGATAACTAACAGTCTTGTCATATATGAATTAAATTTTAAAACCCTTTCTACACTGGTATCCACTTTTAATTCATATCTATATGAATTATGGTAATACTGATGCGCAGTGTGACCAGATACCAAGTATTTGACTTGACAATCAAGTATTTGGGGTGTTGGTCAAGTGACAAGGCAAGGGGTAATTCTTGACATTATAATGTCAAGTATTTTATTTTAATGATATTATGTAAAATCGCGACCAAATAGCAAAATAACATGAATAATATTGTAATATTCTTATATTAAATTTTAATTTTTATAAGTAACTTGAAAAACATAGAATATAATGAACTTCTGTTTAGTTTTTTGATAGTTAGATTAATTTTGTTAATAATAAAGTATACATAAATCATCTCTATTGTCCAGATTTATACTTGTAATTAATTTGGCAAGTATTGATGTTTAAAATAAAGTACCAATTGATGATAAATTTTAAATTGGGGAAATGGTACTTAATTAAAGAAAACTAAAACAATTTTAAAAGGAATATTTTCCCAATTACAGGTAGTTTAATTTCACAAGTTGAGTTTCTAACTTAATACATTTAAAATACTTTATTTGAGCATAATTTTAAGTTAATGTCATATTAAATAGTGTTATAACTATTATAAACGCATAGTTTAATTGTATTCTTGCAAAAAAAAACTTGTCAAGTATTTGTCAAGTATTTTTTGAAGAATTTATTCAAAAATACAAGTTTTTTCGATTTTGGATCTGGTCACACTGCTGATGCGGGTTTATTTATCTAAAATAGATTTAAATTTGACCAATTGACAATGACCATGACCTAATAACCAATTTATCTAATATTCACAAATTGATATAAAGTTAAATTGACTTTTTAAAAATTACACTTTTGCCTTCATTCAACTTAGGATCGAAAAATAAACTTTTTAGAAAACAATTCATGAATTACGTCCCCAATTATCCCCATTATTTATGGACTTGTAAGTTTTTAATATAATTTTTGTGGGTAAAAATTCAAAGAATAATTTCCTAAAAATAATCTTAGCCACAAATAACGTTTGAAAATTTTGAACAGTCTCATTTTGGTTTATATCTTATTTTTCAACGTATTACCCTTGAGTATCACAAGGTTTCTCTCCAGGAATTTATTGTATACGTCATATGCTTGTTTAATCACCCAAGAAATTTATGATACTCAAGGGAGATACGTTGAAATTTTAAAAATAAAAGATTTTTTCAAGAAAAGTCCATCAAATTAAAATAATTATAATATTTAAAGTATCAAATATTGTTAATCTCTAAAATCATTATTCAATTGTGAAAAAAACATTCAATTTATTCAAAGCCGTTATATTGTAATAAATGCATATACTGGTACATTGTTTATATAAACTTAAATTATTCTACAACCTTACTAATAATATTCAAATTATTTTCACATTTGTCATTCATTCAATGTCCTGCGTCACTTTGAGAAAACTTAAGTAAAATAAAAAACCTTGGTTCCTGTCCTGACAAGTCCTTAAGGTCAATTTTTTTTTAGATCAATTGACCGGTTCCCCAGTAACACAAATAAGCAATTGATATTTATTTGCTAATATTTACGTTTGATTAACTTGAATGGATAAATAAGCTATTTATATTAAATAATTTATAATTTGCAAATTATCCAATAATATAGTGATGGAATTTCGGAGACAAAAGTTATTTAATAATTTACAATACAATAAACTAATGAGTGAAGGACCAGACCCAACGGTGCCACTTACTGATAGCAAATTTAACGAGCTCGTTCAGGGTAACACTTTTGCTGCATTACACCACAATAATCAAGAGCCTTTTATAATTGAAACCGACCTTCATGAAAGTTTATTTCAACATTACCAATTAAATATCTCTCGGTTCCAGTTCATTACCGAGGAAATGAAAGTCAAAATACGTATTTTATCGTTAGAATATATCAAAGTGAAAAGGTATATTAGAGCATCAAAATTGTCCGAGATTGATAAAAACACACAGCTAAATAATTTAGCAGATTTTGAAGATTTTTTGGTAACTATTAGAAATCCGACAGTTCAAGAAATAGATAGTTATCACAAACGTTTGGATGAGGTACGAAGAACATTATAATTAATATTTAATATTTAGTGTTTTATGTGTAATATTTCTATACTTGAAAACCTTTCTGCAATTACGTTTTACAAACCAAAATCATGAGGTGTTTCAACCTTGTCAATTACAATTGTAATCTTTGATCGAAATTCCTTAAGTTCAACCTCATCAGGATTATTTAAATCGGCCACAGCTTGTAGGTCAATTCGAAACTTATAGACCTGGTAGTATATGTTTGTCAATCCGCCATCGGACGCCAAGGCTCTGACCACCCCGTCCAGTTCAGTCACTTTCTCATCCGTCCAGTGCAGTTGGCATAACTCCGATATGTCATCACCCGGTACATCTATTAGCTTGCTCACTTTTCGTAGCTCAATTCGCTATGGAGTTTAGCCTGTACTTCCTTTCAACACTGATCAAAGTTTGTAATTACTGTCCATAACGGGACTTGGATCATTTGATCACAAATATTCAAAATTAGACTTTTACCCTCATTCAACTCAGGAACAAAAAATAAACTTTTTAAAAAAAATCATAAAGAACGTTTAAATATTTACGTTATTTATGGACGAATATATTTTTAAATGTTATTTGTGAATTCATTACCTAACCTAACCTAAATTAAAAATGTTTACATCCACAAATAACGTGTTTGAATTTGTAGTTCAAATGTCCCGTAGATCAAATGAGTGAATACCGAAAAGTAATGCTATGAAAACCAGTCGTGCTACATACAGTACTGAAACTGTTTTTGTTTTAATGTGTATTTCAAACATTAATAATCAATCATTTAACAATCAATAATTAACAAAAATCAATAATTTAATATTTTAACGATAATTATAAAGGCATTAATTTTTTAAACGAAAGAAATTTAATATACTGTACAAAAAATGATCGTGTACAATTAAAATGTATTAACAATGGTTTTATTTATATTAAAAAATTATTACTAAGAATATTATAGTAAAATAATAATAAATAATAATAAAACCTTGAAAATAACAATAATTTAGTGTATGATTAATAGAATATAAAAATAAATTCTATTAATTTTGAATAATATAAAATATTTATTTATTTTTTCGGGATCAGTTTATCGGCCAAATTAAACGTATCAATCATTTTCAATAACTCCTTCTTTTGTGAATTCAATTGTTTGCCATCTTTTCTCACAATATCCTCACAATTCGTGAGTTTATCCAAAATTTTGACTTTTTAATCGGATGGACATCACTATTACCGTCCAGTCTTTCGCGAATACCGATGCAAAACGCACTGAACTCATTTACGGTCGCTGCCCTCCTATTAATCTCAACGGGACTTACCCAAAAGGTTTAAACTTGAATAACTAACTGACCAATGGTCATTTGACTTAATTTAGGTTAGGATATGTTAGGTTGGGTCAAGACATGTCTATCCCACTAATCTAATTAAAAATATGTAAACTAGTAAGTTTGTTATTTGAATTTAGGCCTTTTGGGGTAGAACCGTCTCAACCGGTTTTTTATACACACAATTTCTAGTTTGTAATACTTTCCCAGTACTTGTGGCAAGAATAGGCATAATGTCGATTAGTGTGGTCAACACTTTTCGTGTTCACATACCTCCGACATTTGACATGAGTGTCATCCAAAATCCTTGAAAAGGTTATTTAAAAAGTTAAGCAAGTTAAAATCAATTTTATAAGCCGTTATCTATCCAATTAAAAAATATTTTATAATTATTTTGATAGTTGGAATAAATCAAAGAACATATTATTATCAGTTATTTGGTAGAGTATATTTAAAATTAATTAAGTCTGGCGAAATATAAAATAACATATTTAAAGATAATAAACCTATTTATATTTATAAAATTGTAATATTCTAGAAATAAGCCTAGATATTAAGCATTTTGTCTAATTTCACAAAAGATTAAAAAGATTAAGTGTATTTAAATTAATTCGTATGTGGGATATAATATTAATCTCCACAACCACTCTTGATGACTGTACCCTTTTGGGCCGATTCGAGGATAATCCTCCAGAGGGGAGGAAGTTTGGCAACGCTACCGTTCATATTACTGGTAACTACAGCTGCACCCTTATTCATGTCAAGCTCATTTAGTATCTTCTTTTGGTGATTGATATCTTTTTGGGTTATCCTGCATTTCGTGTCTTCCAAACTAATTGCAAAATCACTACCAATTTTGCGTTTGAGAGTAGCGCTAAAGTGAATGTCCAGGGTATCCTTATCCATGTGATACATTATAAGAAGGGTTTGCCCAAATTTATCTATTGTCCACCATGATGATGGTGGACTCTCGATTCGGAATACCTTTATTTGCTCGCCACCCTCTAAAATGGTCATCGCTATGGGAAAATTGTTCTTGTGCACTTTGATCTCAATCTCTTTTGATTTGAAATATTCTTGCACGCTCACATTCTGTCCCATTAATTCGTGTTGTTTAGGCCGTCCGTCATTCATGTGCAAGTACATTTTAATCCCCATTTTAATTATATCTTCGATAACGACAATATCCAGTCTATTCTCTAATATCTGTCCGAAATATGCCGTCCCTATGGCCACAATATCCTTAGGATTGCAATCGTAAAGTATGCGTTTAGAAGAGAAATGTTCGATTATATGATTCTTAAACTCTGTGAGCCTATCTGAATGACCAATAACGAGGATTTTTGACAAATCCTCTTTTCGCAGCCCTTTCAATGATAGCTGATTGTTAATATAATCACCGATTATGGCAATTAGAATGCCACTCTCTTGACTTCTAACATTAAGTAACTCATCAACTGTTTCACTGTCATGCGATATATATTCAATGGAAGTGTTGCTCACTTTAATAATGCTGCAATCGCAGTGAGCGTGATCTAGTGAGAATACCATGATGATCTCTTTAGTCAAACTGTCCCGGTTTTTATCGATAACGTAGGCAACGGTCGCGGCTGTAATCTCGGTAATCAGATGCACCCTTTCAAACCCGGCTATTCTTGATACATCACTCAGTATAGCCCTCTGTCTGATCCTATAATCTGTGCGTACCGTAAACAAAGCCACACGTATGCTCCCTTTCATTAGCTTTTCCGCCGCATGCTTAATGTTCAACACTTGTAAGGCCACTAATGTCTGGATAAATAGCTTATGAGAAAGACCCCGCTCCTTTTCAGATTGAATCAACACTTGCAGTGGTTTCTTAACCCATTTGAATGGGTATTTCTGAAGCTCTGAATCGTCCGCCCAATCCTTCCATAGTATGTCTTTGATGTCGAATGAGCAGTAAGTTTCTCCTAAAGAGCATTTGGCTTCGGACCCGAATGTAAACGCGTTTTTATAAGCGATACAATTGTCGATATAATGGTTGCCATTGTTAGCATCAGGCACAAATTTGATATTGCCATCAAAGTAAGTACCAATAAAATGATCTCTTAAAAAGTAAATGCCCAAAAAAGCAGAATTTGTAGGCGTTCGAAAATTTTGTAGTTTATATTGGTGGATTTGGTTAAACAAGGTAAGTTTCAGTTTTTGTTCAGTGTTATAACAAAAAATTTCTATAAGTCCAGTCTCCCAAAATTGTTTTAGGTATTCAATAAGTAATTTGTTTTGTTTTGTAATAGTTGCACACATTTGAGTTTCAAGTATTTCCTGTAGCGTATCAATTTCGATAAATTTCCAACCAATATCATTTTTTAACGATTCACAATATTTTTTATGCATATCACGAACTATATTATTATTTAATAAAAATAGTTTTGCTATATTTTCGGAATAGTCAGCGCGTAATTTATTATATATTTCATTCATTTTTGCTTGACAGGAGTCGATACAAAATTGTTTTATTTCTGTTTGAAACTCGTTAAAGTTGCAATATTTAAGCATGACACTTAATATTTCACAACTAAATTTATGGTGAATGTCCGTTATATGTGACAGAGAAAAATATCCCGATTTTAATTTTTGTTGCAATATCTCTTGGTATGATTTGCTGGCTACATCAACGGCCTCTGTACCTACGTCATTTTCATATATGTTAATTTTTTCCAATATTTTTTTAAAATGTTGATAATGTTTGCTAAATAATTTTTCAAGTTTATCTGACATTTTATTTTCCATTATAATCTGCTGAACTATTATTTCTGATTGCATATCAATAAGTATTTTGAAATCAAAATATTTTTCAGCACGAATTTTTTGGTCACAATTAGAGTGATAATTTTGAGCACACTCATACAAAAACTTGTATTTTTTGGCACAATTATTTATTTTAGTTGTTAAGTCTGATCGATATTTTAGGCGTTCAATGTTTGATAAGCTTTCTGATTTTAATTCAAACTGATGATTAGCGTGTGTATTAATTAGAGCAAATATATTATTATAATTATTACCCAAATCAGTTCTATTAATATCACTATCGACTTCAGAATCCATTTTATCATCAAATTCTTTATAGATTTCATCAATTAAATTGTGATATTTAATTGAATTTTCATCCAAAATATCGCTGATAATTGAATGACAATTGCCGTCCTCGTTGTCAATCATATGAATTAATATACATCGATAATTATCTACTAAATGAGCAGGTTCTTTATTTTTAAATTGGTTATCAAAGATTTCCAAAACCACATTTCGCATAATACTTGCTTGTCTATTGTAAGTTTGTAAATTTGTTTCGTCATGCATATCGTTTGAAGTTTTATAGGTTTTGATAAGATTTTGATTAAAATCAAAAAGATCATTTTCCGAAACATTGTTTACTACTGTGATATTATCATTTTGGTTGAAATTATTTTGAGATATATCAGATTCTGTATTATTCTCATTATATATTACTTGGTCCTGATTATTTTCGGCCTGAGTGTAATAATCGCATTTATCAATATATTCGGTATGTTCATCTATCGTTTTAAAATTTAAAAATTTTCTATTCAAATTCTCAACTAAGTGAGCTTGTTGGATTATTTGAGATTGTGTTAAATTATAATTAGAAGTTTTTAAAGTGACTTCTTTCTGAAAATACACTTTGCCGCGGGATACTTTAGCACTTATGTCGAAGTTGAACTCATTTTGGTAAGAATCATACAATGTTAGAAATACGTACAAATATTTCCAGCGAAAATCGGAACTAGGAAATTCATTGATTACATAGTGTTTTATTACCGATTCTGGTTCTTGTGTGATTTTAATATGTATAGGAAAATTGATGGGTTTTTCCGTCTCAAAACGTACACCTGGATTTTGACAGGTAATTTTGTTTTGTTTAAGCAAAATATTTGATTTCCAATTTATGCTATTGCCAAATTTAACGAAACATTTTACTGTGCGCAAAACTACGCTAGTGATGGGGATCAATTTTTTGTGCGTCTCGTAGTAATTACTGTAATGGACGGCACCCCTCATAACCACTAGCGAGCTCTCAATGATCTCTACTTTTGAACAATGTCGTTTGAGCATTAATTTAAGGTCCTGTTTATTGATAACTTCTATGTCACCTTAATTTACAAAAACATAGAGTATATTAATATTTAAATTTTCAATATATTACTTTACATTATTCCTAGTTATATAATACGTTATTAACAATAATTATTATTGTTATTTGTGCTCTATAATTATTAGCTAGAAAAAATATTTAGTATAACAGAATATCGAGGAATAAAATGAATTGGTTATGATTTTCAAGAGTAGTTAGCCAGTAACATAATTAAAAATATCGAAATTAAATAAATAAACTTGTTGAATTTACATCCGACCATTACTGACGCCCTTATTTTAAGATAATAATAACATATATTAACATAAAAACATAATAGCATATATTAACATAACATTTAATACCATACATAATATTAACATAATATACGTATATGATTGTATATGATATATGATAATACATGTATATGATTCTTTGCATTCAAGATAGATTTACTGTATTTACTATATTTAAACAGTATAAAATTCATAAGATCTATACTACTTTTTATATGATTATTACTAGATTAATGTATTGTGTACATTTTAAATATAATAAACATAAGCCCATCTAAATGATGACTGCTTTATGCCATCAAATATAACAATTACAGCAATGATTACCGATATATGTATACAATACTAGTATAACATTGTATAAAATTAAATCTTGTAATTTCAATGATAAAATGAGGATGTCTGCAATAATTTAAAATTAATTTTTCAAGGTAACTTATTTGATTCGTCAGCTTTGGTCAATTCCAAATGTTAATTATATTACTGGATAACTAGTAATAATGATCATACTTACTCAATTTACATTCATTCTACGATATTCTCTAGTTAGGCTTAGAAAACATTTTTAACTATTAATTTTTATAATTACCTGTTATTAAACAATCACGCACATATAAATATTTTGATAGTTTCGTTAACCAATTTGAGAAACTTTTGCTTATTATTGAATCGTGATTATAAGCTTTGCTATAATAAGCCAGGTAACGGACACTTTGCTCAGTATAATGAATAAGAGCTAATTCACACTCATTACGACTAATTATAATGATAAGAACTTCATGAAAAGTCAAATCCCTGTTATAATAATTAGTGTTAAATCCAAAATCAATAGCTGCCGCACTCATATTAGATAATATGTGAGCATGATCAATTCTGGCTATTTTAGCCGAGTCCTTTACAGATTTTATCTGTCTTATGGTATAATTTGTGGGAACAATGAATAAGACGTTTTTCATATAGTTTTCAAACTGAGTCTCGGCTCTGGATTTCATTTCAAGTATTTGTAACGCGAATAACGACTCGATGTTTAAGTCAACACTCGCTTGAGTTGTGTCCGTGAATACCAACTTTACTTTTGGTGGATTTGTTTCAACAAATTTAAATTCATACTTATTAAACTCGTCATTAATAACATCCCGTCCCATAATATCACTGATTGGGTGTATGTTTCCATTTATAAATTTCTTAGCATTGCTGCCATGGAGTAAATAATTGCCATCAAATGCTATACAATTAATAGTGTTATTTTTGAAAGGATAATCTACATTTAAATAAAAGCCGGTTTGTCTATCATAATATGCGCCAATAGGTTTGTCGTTGAATTGTATGACCAGTGAATATGATTTGTCTTTTTTGCGATCATTAATTGCTTGGTATATCTGTTTACAACATATAATATTATCCGTAATATAACGCCTATTCTTATGAATGGTTTCCCATAAATATTTATAAATAAAACGTTTTTCGCTATCACATACTAACTCCTCCTGAATGGGCCATAATTCATCAAGCACATTTTCGTGTACTTTTTCAAATTCATTTTCGCTTAAATAGGTACATTTTGTTAGTTTTTCCGAAATAATATAAGAATATTTATTGTAGAGTTTCTTGGTAATTTGAGACATTATATTCCTAATAAATTCATAATTAGCCCGGTTCGTTGCAAAATTTGCATCGTAAAGTTGTTCAAGCTGATATCTAACTTTACATTCACATTCGCCGATTATATTTGATTTATATTTTGTGACTGGTAATTTATCTGTAATATCAATCCAAATAGTATCAAGTAATGCGTTATGTTTTTGCTTTAAAATATAATCTGTATATGTGCCCGACTTTAGTAACTCGCCCATTTTTGTTTCGTATAATTTATGAGCCATTTTTATGCACTCGGTTACAATATATTTTGAATTAATTTCCGATATTTTGTTTTTAAATAATTTCATATCATTTTGAATCAAATCATTGAATTTATCTCGTAAATAATTATTTTCAATAAAAGGCATATCAAGTAAATAGTTGTCCAAATCATCAACTTTTATGGGAAACACGTCCTGTTGGCACAGACGCTCACATTTTGCCACAAATATGTCATAACTTTTACTGTATTTCTGAAATAACTCTTTCTGTTCGGCCAACAAATGTTGCAATTTTTGAAAATAAAATATTTTCAAACCTTTCAATTCATTTGCTTTCAAGTCATACGAATCGGTAATTTCTTTAACCGTCGGTTCGTTTATTTGGTCCAAATTTTCCCATTTTATAAAGTATTTAAAATTTTTGTCCATTTTCTGTTTAATAGAACCCCAGAAAGTGTTCATTAATTCATTCAACAATTGATTACCACTTTCCACGAGTTTTCTGTAAGTTCTTTCAAATTTTAATTTTTCAAGATCTATATCCCTACCCATTGTTTCCCAAACGTCGGGGACAAGTGTTATGTTTTCGTTTAAAAAGGAAATTAATTCCTGCAGTAATTTAGTTTTGACGGAATCGTGTGCCGTTTCCAACCCTTCAGGTATATTGGGTTCAGCGATGTCTATTTCGTCGAACATATCCTGCTCATATTTTATAATTAAATTTTCTGTGTATGTATTTAAATCGTTTGTAGACTCCCCACTAGAACGCATGTTTCCATACTTATCTGTTGTTGCAGGGTTAATTTTTGAGATATCTGAGCCTATTGTAAGGTGTGTAAAATTATTTTGTTTAATTAAAGGTCTATCTTGATTAATACTAGCATTAATAATGACCGACAACTTACCATGGTATGTAGTACTTTCGACAGGGTTATTTACTTGAATTTTAGTTTCGCTATAAATTATTAGTTCAGTTAAACTTTCACAATTAACCAAGACACCTGTTTGGAGCATGAATAAATTTTCGTGATTATCATCCACGTGATTATAATCTGCGATACAATTTTCAATAACATCCATAATTTTAACCACATTAGTAAATATTTTTTCACTTGGCCAATTATTAGCAGCAAGTACTTTATTTTTGATAAATTCCGAAATTTGTTGAACATATTCTGGTTTGAAATCCGCAACTTTCCAGTCAACTTTCTTGACATTACTGGTAGGGCAGGAGGTCAGGTATGTGCCATATTTGTTGAATTCTTGTTCAAATTCTAGATAATCTTTAAATTTATTAAGAATTTCCGAAAAATTTAGGTTACATTTGTGGTGTTCTATGTGTTCACAGTTATATATACTATTAATTAAATCATTGTATGATTTAATTTCTAATATATATTGACTACTGACCACCCGTTGCGAGTGTTTCTAAAATTTTAGAAATGTAAATGGCATATTAAGTTTAGTCAGATTATTATTGCACTCACATAAAGGTTTTGATCCATTTGGTTAACAATAAACACGGTAGATATTTTCGATATTAGCTGCAACATACGGAACAGTGATCTGTTCGTAATAAGATCGTCAAACTGATAATTGTAATTTTGTAGACTAATTAATAGGATGCAAATATTTTTGCCATCCCGCTCCACTTTTAGCGGCTCACACCACATTTCGATTCCTGGGTGGTTAGCTTGCACATCCATGTCATTGTTACTGAAACCATATAAACTTCTCAGGGTAACATTCATTGGCCAGTCACTAACATTATCACCCTTTTCCAGACAATTTAATATAAAATTTATGGTGAATGTGTTGCCTTCGAAATGCGGTCCCACCACTGATATGATGGCTATTTCATCGCATTGTTTCTCATTGATCTTGGTCAATATGCAGTCAATGACAGTTTTGTTCAGGTGAAATTTATCGTCCACTAACTCCACAATCCGATAGGTTGTCATTATTTTCCAAGGGTTTAATAGAAATTATCTGTATAGAAAAAATGTAAAATATTTATAAGTTATAAATTATAACTACCATAAACCAACAACTAGTAGTTAATAAAACTAAATACAAAACATTATAAATTAGCTACTAATGAAGATTTACTATATATTCCTACCTTAAACTAAATATTTTCCATACTACATAATTTGTAAACAGACCAAGGAGTTTATAATATTAAATTGACACAAAATCAAGTTAATGCAAAAAGTAGTATAAAACTGTTATTAAAAATATTTTAGCAAATATAATGTAATCTCAAAATTTGTCTACATTCATTTAACTTGTGCATTATACAGTATGATATCTTATATTACCCGTACAGGCAATTAACTTATCTACTTTTAATGCCAAAAGTTATGCCATATTTACCCAGACGTACAGTTTGAGTTAGATAGTTGAAAACGTTTGATATGATTACTATAATATAATGCAATGTAATATATATTGTTACCGATAGCTAAACTCATTGAAATTGATTTACTCAATTCTTAGTATTTGTTGAGTAATATTCACTATATATTTATGATTTTCATAACTTGTGAGTCATAATAATATTATATTAAGTATTATTGTGAATATAAACAATTATTCTCGTAATTTATCATATTAATATACATAATTTTAAATTAGTATTACTACGCATATTGTTAACCAAACTCTTTGATAGTTTCAATATTGGTTTAAAGTTTATTTCACATTTTTATATTAATGTTAATAAATAATTAAATTACTGTATAAGTCATAATAAGCTTTATATAACATAGACTTATTAATAATAGTAAGTAATATTGGAATATGTGAAACATTGATATACTGCATATTTTAAACAATGTTTTATAAATTATTTAGATAATCAATCACTAAGCAAATGAGTTATCGGATAGTGTTTGTGTTGGACGTGTCGGGTCTATGTCTGGTGCCAAGTGTCAGACCTTACACTTGGAGACCTTGCGTTTCATTGAACGGATTCCTGACGGCAATTCCGTGGGAATCGTGTCGTTTAACAATACGGCACAAACAGTGCTCGAGTTAACCCGCATCGACACCGTGGACACCCGTAACACCATTGTAGCCAGCGTTCCGAAAATAGAAAAGGGTAGTACCGATATCAGGGCCGGTATTATGGAGGGATTAGCTGTGTTCAATAGGGCCGGAGTCAGTACAGTTGGCGCTTATATATTTTTGGCCACAGATGGCAAACATCGACGCGGCAATTCAGATTACGTGGGCGATGTATTAGGGGGTTTACGTGAGGCTCAAGTAATACACAATTGCTTATTTATACTGTATATAAATTATTTAAATTTAAACACAAACGTGATTATTTTAAAACTAACAATTTATAAACTTGTACTGATATTTAACTTTTAAGGTGCGAGTGATATGTGTGGCCATTGGCACTACAGCTGATTCTCGCCTGGAAAAGTTGGCTCAGGAGACCGGGGGTCGGGTGTATAATCCGGGTAGAGTGGACCCCAATAACAAAGAAATGATGGCCCAGATTCTGAGGGCAGCCATGCAAGAGGTGATCACATCCAAAGAGATGGCAGAAATTATAACCGTTTCTGTGTTTGATGAAGTCATTGATATTACAACCGAAAGCGCCGAGATACAGGTGCCCATTGACCCAGACATCGGCCGTAATACGCTAATACAGGTGCGATCGGAAAACATCAAGTTTATTGAGCTCGACATCACCAGTCCTTCCGGCACTACATACAGTACCAGCGGTGGACAGATTGCTAAGCGTCTGGAGCTGAAACAATGTCAACTTTATGTGGACGAGGCTGAGCCGGGTGTATGGCTTATTAAACTTTACAAGATGATTGGACAAGCTGATAGTGCTCACATTATGGTTGAGTCATGCTACCGGTGTTCACACCATTCAAATGAATGTCCAATTGAGGGCATCCAATACTGACTGTCCCCCAATTATCGCCTGTAAACTTTGCAAAGCCAAGTATCCGATAGTCTTCGCCATTGTGACGGCAACTGTGGACAGACCTAACGGATCGCAAACTGAACTCCCGTTAAATAATTATAATAATGAGGATTATTATTATGGTTATTATACTGATTATAGCGGCACCGGTAGGTATAATGTCAGCGTATTGGCCACCAACGAAGGGAATCATACTCGGTGGAAAGGTACTAATTTAAGTAGTTTATTTGTTATTAAACTAACGTTTTAACTGATAATCAGACAGTTATACTGGACAATTTCGTAGGCAAATAGTCGCCGACAGTTTCCAAGTGAATGACTTACAGCCCTCCCAACCCCCTACCGCTGACTACTTTCAGCAACTTTTACTAAACAACGCGTTTGGAAATATGCGTATAAATACATCGAATAATCAGTCGCCAGGGGGTGCACCGGATGGTGGGGCACAACCTTCGGTCCTAAGCTCCGCGCCCCCCAAAGTTATCATGATCAGTCCACAAATGCGAGTATTAAAAAATAAGCTTGCAATCAACTATGCCAAAACTGTACGCGCTATTAATGCGTCAATGGTGCCAAAATATGAGCGAGATAAATTTGTTATCTCAATCGCCGATTTTGATGGACCCAAAAGTTTCATTTCCTCGATTAGGGAGACCTCTGTTGAAGTGATTGATAGCTATCAGCGAAGACTCGATGATATTAACAGTAAACTTAATTTAACGAAAAATTAATGAAATCCTAACTATGTTAACAAATGTAAGTATCCGTGAATTAAAAGTAAATTTATTCAACGTATTTGTATTAAATATATGTTTTATTAGTATAATGTAATTTGCAAAAGGCGTATTGTTTTTTATCATAATACTTTTAATAAGCATGTGGACGATAAGTTGAAGTATCACTAGAAATATACATTTCAAAACTGTAAATTCAACACTAATACTGTATAAGTAATACATATTAACTAATAATGTTTGACAAAGAGTTTTAAAATATTATTTTACAAATAATAACTAATTAAATTAAAGAAAATGTTTTTATAAATTAATTTTACTGTATATTGATTGAACATGTTTATAATTATAATTAATAATAATTTACATCTTTATATTCAAGTATAATACTATTTGTAGTGATAGTTTAAGGTTTAAAGTGCCATTTTCTAGAGTTTATTCTGAACTACTATACAATAAAATATTTTTGGCATTATATAATTGATTGATATGTTGTATTTAATTAAAAATGTTTAATTTGTAATTAGATGAATTTTTTAAATTAAAGAATATGCGATACTTTATTTATAAATCATTTTATAAATTCAAATGTTTTAATATAAATTATTTGTGTAGATGATAACTCATTTTTTTAATTTTAAAAATATGAAAAACTTTTATTATAAAATAATGTTATGTACGTGAAGGAGGAATCCAAAGAATAGGTGTTCAACTCACCCTTAATATTATTGACAATAATTTGGTCTTGGGTCATTTGACCTACGGGACATTTGACCTACAAATGTTCAAAATTGGACTTTTACCCTCATTCAACTCAGGAAAAACAAATTAACTTTTTTCAAAAAAATTTCATAAAGTACGTCTCTAAATATCTACGATATTTATGGACGAATTTATTCTTAAACGTTATTTTTGAATTCCTTACCTAACCTAACCTCACCTAAAAATGTTTGCATCCATAAATAACGTGTTTGAATTTGTAGGTCAAATGTCCCGTAGATCAAATGACCGAATACCCAATAATTTACTTATTGTACATTTACATCATTATATATCACTCTAACTCTAATATTAATGCAGAATTAAATACTTTATTTTATATTTCAAAAGCAGATAATATATGATTATTATTTTTTAACCACATATTAATTCGGAATTAGTGGCGTAAATTATTATAATTATAAAATATACATAATTTTAAAAATAATGTATAATAAAAACAGAATATTCTTTTAAAATAATTAAAAAATACATTCAATGTCGGCGTTTGAGCAGCTCATCCATACTGAGTCTCCCCTTATATTCCGTGACCTCAATCTCGTGGGCCGTACCCATAGACAGCACCTCAGCCCTCACTTTCAAAATACCCTCGTCATTCACGCAAAACATGACTGATATGTTTTGTCTGCCGGCCTCCTCAGGCGGTATGTTTGTGACCGTAAACCTGCCCAACAGGTCGTTACGGGTGGCGACGGCATCCTCGCCCTCATACACCTCCACATCGATGTCCGTCTGATAGTCGCAAACAGTTTTGTATATTTTGGTGAACGGTGTGCACACCCGAGACTGCGCCAGGATTACGGGCGACATCACGTCACCGGTAGTCCTAACGCCAAGAGTATGTGGTGTGACGTCGAGCACCCGTAGGGTCCGGTGCTTTTGAGCCTGATTTCCGTTCAGTATAGCCGCCTGGAATGCAAAATATGTATAATATACGGTATTTGTGATTACATTGGTCAAATAATTTTACCAAATGTGAACCAAATTATCAAATGGTATACTTAAACATAGCTTTCATACGACATACTGTTTGTTATAAATAGTTGTATGAAAGCAGAGCTGAAGTATACCTTTTGATTATTAGAACCACAAATATAATACATCATGCTACATAATTATATTAATTTGGTTTATAATTTTAAATTATCTGCATGACCTTTCTCAAACTAATTAATATAATGTAAATGAAAATAAAATTCCCTGATAAAATCACCTGGATTGCTGCCCCTTTAGCCACAGCCTGTAATGGATCCACTTTCTCTGTGTCTAATCTTGTAGATAGTTTACCACCAAAACGGTCCTCGATCAAATTTTTAACAAAGGGTATATGCGTAGACCCGCCCACCAACACGACATCGTCTACATCATCGACGGACATACCGGCGTCGATGAGCACCCGATCCACGCACTGCATCGTCCTAATGAACAGGTGTTCGTTAAGCTCTTCGAACCTATCGCGAGTCAGTTCGACCACCAGGTGATGACCGGCGATGATATTGTCCACAGCAATGGTAGCCGACATGGCCTCCGATAGTAACCACTTTTCCCGCTCGCATTGCGTGCGTAATAGCCTGAGAGCCCGTTCCCCCTCAGCGCTGGTCCTGTCGATTAGGATACCCGTCCGACTGTAGAATTCTTTGAGGCAGTGCTCTATGACATTGTTATCCAGGTTATCACCGCCCAAGTGGTTATCCCCGCCCACTGCGCACACCTCTATCTGACCCATTTGCAGCTTTAATATAGCTACGTCAAATGTACCACCACCAAAATCGTATATTAGCACCTTCCTATGTAATTAAATTAATACTTGACAATAAATTTCTATACAAATTATTAACACCTTTCCACACATACCGGGCCTGTATATCATCAAACCTATCCAACTGATAGGCCAGTGCAGCCGCCGTGGGCTCATTGATAATCTTCAGCACATTGAGTCCGGCCATAATTCCCGCCCCCTTTGTAGCCTCCTTTTGGGCGTCATTGAAGTAAGCAGGCACAGTTATCACGGCATTTTGTATGGCGTACCCCAACCTCTCCTCCGCCACCTCTTTCATCTTCCTTAACACGTGGGCTGACACTTCTTCCGGTAAATACCGAGCGACCACACCGTCCACATCGACCTCCAAGCCCGCCCTATTGTCCCCCACGTCGACCACTTCGAAGGGGTATAGTTTGGTGTTGGGGTCGACAAAGTCGTGCTGCACTTCCGGGTTGTCATACCGGCGCCCGATTAGCCGTTTGGCGGAGAATATGATGTTCCGGGGGTTCGCCAACCGGTTGTCCTTTGCCTCTTCGCCCACGACCGGGCGCTCATTATTAGGCCTATACTCCACACAACTGGGCGTCACGTCGTTCCGGCGCTGGTTCTTGAATATGATTACCTGTCCGGGGTTTTGCCGGCCCGGGTCGTAGTAGCCCACACACGAGTTGGTTGTGCCCAGGTCTATGCCGATCGCGGGAATAGTAGGCGCGTTTTGGTCGTTTTCATCTTGCACCTTTTTATATGCCACTTCCATGGTGTCACGTGTTATACGCTCGTATCTTGCAAATGAAAATATAATTATTATAATTAGTTTTATATTATGATATTTGGATCAATTTATCAAGGGTATATTCATTGTCTACTTTCTTATAGCTATCAGATATTATTATAATACCAAATATTTTAGTTCAGATGTATAGAAGTATATGGGAACAGAATTAAAGTATACATTTAGATTGTTCAAATATCACAAACATTTATGTAGTATTAAAATGTAGCATTAGATTTTAAAATTATTTTTGCTTATGCACAATGTCCACTAAACTATTATATTAAATATAAACTTTCTCATCAGGATCATAATCAGGATTCATAAATTTTTAACTCAAACATTTATCATAATAATACTATCATGTAACCTGTTACAATATACTATAAACTAGCTATATTTTTACAAATTAATACCTATCATTGGTAATATGTCCACGCTCATGTTGGAACTTCTTTAAACAAAGTCTCACTAAATCCAGATGAATACCTTCCAACCGCTCCGGTATTATAAACTTTTTGTCGGGATTTTCTTTGCGGATCTCCTCGTTATACCAATGGATAACCGTTTTCATGAGCCCTTCCTCGGCCCGGCGCCGGCTCTTCACGTGCTCTTCAAACTCGTCCACCATTTCGGAGGCTATGGTCTGAATCTGGTCCCGAAGTTCACGTAAATTGAGTCTCAGATTATAGCGATTCTTGTTTTCGTTAACAATACGGGTGCCGATAAGCCGGGCCTCTGACAGAAACACATCCCTGTCCTCCGTATTGGACATTTCTATCCAGAGCTCGAGTTCGTCCTCGTATTCCTTCATCAGGTTAGACATAACAGTCTCCATGGCACTGGTATCCAAGTCACGGCGCTGGGTGTTTGTACGTTGGTTAGCCTGGTATTTGTCCCGCATATAACTAGATAGGGAGTCTTTGTAGGGCATTATGGGCACCACGTCGGTGTGGGCATCCTTGGTGTTAAAGGTCATGATTAAATCAACCTGTATACTAGTATTTAGTGTATCCAGTTCCTGGTCATCGTAATATTTTGTAGGATCTTCAAGTAACTCGTTCATTTTCTGAATAAAGTAAAAGTTTAATTTATATATAGTTATGAAAATATTCAAAATTAAGTAATTTTAAGTTAATAATTATTTTAAATATTTATGAACAATTTAAATAAAAATGTGTAAAATGTACCTGTTCATAACTTGTCTTAAGTGTTGCCAAACACTTTTCATAAGTGCTAATTAACTGTTGATTCCGTTGATTATTATTAGCGATGAAAACATTGGACTCGCTTTGGATTTGATTCAATAACTGATAAACAAAATACAAAATATTCATTAAAAAGAAATATCAAATTATAGCAAAACTTGTATACCCTTTGCTTATGTGAGTCAAACAATTGCGACTCAACCGCACAAAACATGTCAAACCTATAGATAATGTGTTCCCGTTTTGTGTCCACTATTTTGGCTAAAGTATGATCACTGATGTAGTCATCGGGAGTAATGTGTTCATTGATATCCGCCTTAAACTCGTCCACCAATTCAGTGATCATATCGTTAGTAGTCGTAAGCCTTCGGTTCTCATTCTCGGTGTATATTGACTGGAAAGCCGTGTCCAGTGTTTGGGCTAACAGTGCCGTCAGCTCCTGGACCACAGGTTCATCGGTGGACTTCTTATGGAAACTGAACTTCGCTTTAATACTGTCTATCAAGTCGTCCGATTGTGCGGTGAGTTGTGTCCGACCACTGAATGGTTTGTCCAGAGATAGGATTGCCATCTCATTCACGTACTCATCCTATTGTCAAACAAATAATCATTAAATCTTATAATAAATATTTTAAATATTTTAAAGTAAATTCTTAATGTGTGCTAAAAAATTATTAAATTTTTTTATTTAGATATTAAAATATAATATTTATATTTATTAATTTATTATAAAACTATCTGAAAATAAATATGAAACATTAACTAAATATAATTAAAATACTAAATACCTTTAATTGATTAATAAGTTTAAGATCGGTAGCTCTATGCCTGGTCTCAACACTATCACTGGCCCTGGGCATTTTGTCGCTATTAAAAATCTTAACACAGTCATCGAAAAACCGTGCTAGCTCACCACCACTAATTGGTCTACCATTAATAGTTTTGACTTTAATTGAGTCGGCATTTAAGAGATGTTTACAAATCTCATCGACTTTTGTGTTGAAATCATCACTCAATTGATTGGCACTACCGTTAAACCCGGACTCGCCGTTCACGGCTACCAGTCCCGGGCTGGGCATCAGAAAGCACTGGTAGCTCTCGAAGCTGTCAATAATCATTTGTCGCGACTGTTTGGCTGTAGCCCTCTGGTCGCCTTTAATCTCAAATTTTGCGTTCCGGTAGTTCTGACCCCCTTCTAGTCCGTAGGGCGGGTCCCGACGGGTCCAGTCCCGGATCATAAATACCTAAAATTAAGTATGTAAAAGTGTTTAAGTTTTTAGCAAAATAAAATGCATCGATATTTACAAATTTTAAATATTTCAATTAAAGTATCCTATCGCTAGCAATATACTAGTAATACACTGTTATACTGTTAATAATGATTAATTTTAAATTAGTGGAAGACTTTTAAAATAAGTGGGAAGAAAAATTGCTTGAAAGTTAAAAAGGATTGATTATTAGTATAAGTAACAAACTATATATATGTTACTTAAGTACAACTTTATAAACTTGTAATCTATACTAATAATAAATCCATTTTAACTTTCCGGCAATATTTCTTCTCATTTATTTTAAATTTCATCCGCATATATCAATATTTAAAATATTTTATATAATGCATTACATTTGATGCTGCGAAACAAACCTAGAGTTTTGGATTATTTGTGAATTGAAAGTTTTCAAATAACGAAAAAACTTTAAATCAAAAAATAATCCAAAGACTTATTTTTTTACAGCAACATATTAAAAAACTTAGCTATAAAGTGTATAAGGTTTAAATTAATCATAATCTTATAAATCAAAACTTACAACATCGTGAAAGGGTTTCCTCCCGTTCCCATCAACAGTATCCCCGATTAAGTTCAGGGCTTGGAGTCCATAGTCGAAGAATGAGTGTATTCTTGGGAGAATATCCTCTCCGAGATCTTTGCTTACATTGAATATAAGTGTCGATGACATAAGTAGACTCAGGCCTACAATTGTAGACCAATCCCTCTCATCGTAGAATCCGTCATACAATCCCTGGGTGTCCACCAAAATGATGGCCACCTCTTCGCCACTGGATTTGTGGACAATAAAGGGCTGCGAAAACCAAATCCCGCGAGTGGTCTGACTATTCATCTCTGTATTCCACTCGAAACCTATGGCATAGAGGGTTAGGCTTATAAAATAAGAGATACTGTGTTCTTATACCATAAAAGGTCACAATTACCAAGTTTATTTTTCTCACTAGTGCTATAAAACAAACCCAACATTTTGGATTATTTATGAATTGAAAGTTTTTTCATTACTTTCGAGTGAAAAAACTTTCAATTCATAAATAATCCAGGATAAGGGGTTTGTTTTAAGGCACCAGGTACTTAAAAATATACATTTATATAATGATAAATACCATATAATGGTTCGCTGGGGTCGGGAATTATAACGGTGTCATCGGACAGACACTCATCCATGTCGTACCCGCCCATTGATCGGCAAAACCTTTTGCTATTAATAAGATGGCGTCCAATCTTGTTCATCAGGAATGAGTTGCCCTCACCTGCCTTTCCCACACCAACTACGAGGGCCACCCGCCTGTCCTCAACTTTGGCCAGTATGCCATCCAGACCCGGCTTATTTAGTTCATATTTGCATTTGTCGCTACCGGACACCTTCACAATGTCTATGATTAACACCGGGTCCATTTTTCTGTTTATAGCAATTGTAATATATGATAATTTATGACAAAAGCATTTATTTATTTAATCATTAATGTTAAAAGTCTCAGTTATTGTACACAATATCATAAACACTGATATGAATGCATAATAAGTGTTATGAAAATTGTTTGATTTTTAGACACCAATCATCAAAACTAGTTAAGTGTTAGTCATAGCATAGGGTTTTAAATATCATTATATTTCAAAGAACTTTCATTTCATGTAACATAATATTTAATATATAATTACGAGACTACCAAGGTAGCTTTCTTAAAAGTTTATTTATAAATAAATTATAATACATTAAAAGTTTTATTTGCCATTAACAAAACATATTAAAATTTTTTATAATGCTGTATATAAAAGTTGTAACTTATTAGTTAATTTTGATAATCTTGTAAAATTAATATTACTTAAATAAAATAAAATAACTTGGTTATAGAACAGTAGTTAAACTTTACACTATGAGTAAAAAATATTTGCTACCTACATCTAATATTATTTCCACAACATTATGAAATAAAAATTATATTTTAAAAATAAGTTTTCGGAAGTTTTGTAAATGGCAAAAATATAATTATTATAGAAAGTATGGGAATTTTAATTTTCAAATAATAGCATTTAATTAATAGTATTTGTATATAATTAATATTTCTATTACTATATTTTTATATTATTAAATTTATTAATGTTTACAAATGTATGAATATATTGAATTCAGTGTATTTTTAAATGGATAGACAAAACTATTATTATTATTAATGTCATACGATATGAGCACCTATTTTGCAGTCAAAACACTTAATCAACTGATTATAAAGTGAAATATACTTTCACTAACAGATAAATATGTATTTTACTTGTATAAAATAATTTTTAGTATTTGTATAGTAATGCAAAATATTTTAAGTATGATTGTAATATAATAAATGTTTATTCTGTAGTGTTAAATAATATGATGCTAATAAATTATTTAATATACAATTTGAAATTTCTTATTTAATAATATTTTTTAATAAAATAATTTTTCAAATTACAATCAATATTATGAGATTTATATTTTTATTAAAATTAACAAATACAAAGTTTAACAAAAATTAATAATTAAAATAATTATATTTTTAAAAATTAATATAATATTTAAAATAAGCATATTTTTGTTTGAAAATTATAATTAATATTTTATAAAATTAGATGATTAAAAAAGTTATATATAATAACTAGAGATAGGATTATTTTTTAATATAAAATTTAATTTTTTGAAATAAGCTCTTAATGTTAAGAAGCAAATAAGCTAATGTAACTTAGATATTAAGTTTGCTTGTTAATATAACAACTTATTTCAAAATTAAAAATAATTAAAAAGTAAATTTTATATTCCTTATAATTATAACAATTTTTAAAAAGATTAATTATATAGAAAATGTTATACCAAATAACATTAAAAATTTAATTTTATATAAAAGATTTATGCCGGGATCAGTTTATCTCTGAGCTTATATGTAGTAATCATTTCAATTATTTCTCGCTTTTGTTGATCTAATTGTTTGCCATCTTTTCGGACAATATCCTCACTTGCGGTCAGTTTATCCAAAAGTTTAGACTTTTTCCGGTGAAATACATCAGTACTACTGTCCAGTCTGTTCCGAATACCGGTGCAAAACGCGCTGAACTCATCACCTGGTGTTGTCATCCTATTTGTGTCAACCTGTTTGTTGAGCACAGACCTTATTTCGTGTAATACCTGTCCAGAACTGGTGCTCGGAATAGATATAGTATCCATACATTTATTCTGTACATCTGGTGCCAATTTAAAAGTACCGAGTTTATTTATTATACTACGCTGACCATCGATATCTGTGGAGCTTAGTCTGACTTTGGTATCGATTAGACTAATCGATTGATCGCCTGTTTTAGCTTTCAATATGGCGCTAAAGTGTATATCCAATGTGTCCTGGTCCATGTGATGGGTCACTAGAAGGGTATTCCAGGGATAAATTTTGTCGGCCAATTTTCCGATGGGCTGCGACCACGTGGCCGGTGGAGGCCTATCGACCACAAACAACTTGATCTGTTCATCGCCCTCCGTGATTGAAATATGTATGGGAAAACTTTCCCCGTTCACTTTAATATTAGTTTCAGCTATTTTGCGATAGACGAACACGCTTACATTTTGCTCCATCAATTTGTATTGTACATTTCTATTATTAATATGTACTAGCATATTAATGGGCATTTTGACCACTTCCTTTATCTCAATAGTGTCCAGTCGTTTCTCTAACATCTGTCCGTAATATGCCGTCCCTTTGGCAATGATATCCCGCGGGGGACAGTCGTATAATATGGGTTTGGGTGCGAAATGATCCGATACACAAGTTTTTAGGTCCACTAGTCTATCAGATTGACCGACGACCAGGATTTTCGACAAATCAGTTTCAGATAATTGTTTGATAGACATATCATTAGTGATATAGTCGATGATTATGGGGTAAAAGCTACAAGTGCCAAACCCCATTATTGTAGCAACAGAGTGACTCCCATAGGACAGGTATTCAATGCAGGTATTGGTTAATCTTATTAGAGCGTAGTCGCAATGATCATGGTCAAGCGCGAATACCATGATAATTTCCTTGGACATACTTGTTTTATCGATAAGATAGGCCATGGCGGCTGCGGTGATCTCGGTAATTACGTACGACGTTTCGAACCCTGCTATTTTAGCCACATCTCTGAGTATAGCCCTCTGTCTGATTCGATAATCCGTACGTACCGTAAGCACAGCCATACGTACGGCCCCTTTTATCTGTAACTCCGCCGCGTGTTTAATGTCTAGCACCTGTTGGGCTACTAATGTTTCAATGTATATTCTGTATGCCATACCTGGGTCCTTTTTTGAGGGAAGATTAAGGGTTATGGGACCTGTAGTCAAATCCATAAACGGATACTTTTGGAGCTCCGAGACGTCCGCTTCATCCTTCCATAAGAGGTCTTTGATGTCGAATGAGCCGTAAGTATCCGTCAAATACTCTTTGGCTTTCGATCCGAATATAAACGTGTTTTTATAAGCGATACAATTGTCGATATAATTGCTGCCATTGTTGGTATCAGGCACATATTTGACTTTGCCATCAAAGTAGGTGCCTATCAAAATGTCGCTCCCAAGATATACGCATAAATATACAGAGTCCTTAGCGTTTCGAAAGTTTTCCAGTTTATACTGGTGAATCTGGTTAGACAAGGTGAGTTTGAGTTTTTGCCCCTTTTTAGCCAAGATATTTTCAACGAGTGTGTCCTCCCAGTCGTCCTGTTTTAATACAGTTATGGTTGCTTTTTGGTCGGCCATATTTACGGTCATTTCGTTTTCAAGCGTTTTCTGTAACGAGTCGATCTTGATGAATTTTCCGGTCATATGTTTGCGCACGGCTTGGCAAAACTTGCGATGCATATTCCGATTAATATCATTGATCATGGTAAATAATGTTGATATGTTTTCAGAATAATTAGCGCATAAATTTTCGAAAATGACATTAGTTTTTGCATGAAAAGAATCCACACAATATTGTACCAGGTTTGTTTGGAGCGGATTAAAAATGCATGACCTTTGTAAAATATTAGCGATTTTGTCAGTCAATTTCTCATTAATAATATTCATATTTGACAATGTATAATATTTCGAGTTGAATATTCTTTTAAAAATGTCTTGGTATTGTTTAACTGCCAGCTCAACAGCGTTGTTAGCAATTTGCTTTTCATCTTGGTGAATTTTTTCTAATAGTTGTTTAAAATGTAAACATGTTTTAGTATACATTATTTTTAAATAGTCCAATAAATATTGATTGTCTTTCACAATTTGTGGTAGTTGTACGTCGGATTGTAACTCGGTCAGTTTATTGTTATCGAGAAACCAATCGGTCTTTATTTTTCTGCTACAAGTATTGCGGTACTTTTCGTTACACTCGTATAGGAGCCGGTATTTATCGGCACACGTATTGATATTGGTGGTTAACTCAGCCCGGTATATTTGGACATTAGTTTGTGGTAAGTCTTTTGACAAATCATTAAAACGCTTAATCGTATCGTTATTAACGCGCGTAAATATCGAGTTAAAATTATTATTCATACCATTATTATTAATTTCTGCACCTATTTCAATTTTCATATTATCATTGAATTCTTTGACACAAATCTCGATCACATTCAGATATTTCTTTTCCAAATTTTCTCTGATAATGGCCTTAAAAACAATGTCCTCATTATTTAAAAATTCTATCAATATTATGTGGTAAGTCTTGATTAAGTCTCTAGGCTGTTTGCAAATAAAGGTAGCTTTATACTTTTGTTCAAGTTCATTTTTTATAATTGTTGCATTTTCTACATAGCTCTGTTCGTTGTATTCATCAGATTTCATTTTAATAGATATAGAATTTTTGTAATCATCGACCAACTGATTGACAAATTGTTCAAGCTCATTATCGCTAATTATAATAGTTGTTGGCATTGATGTTGAAGACTTTTGTGGGTCATAATGATTATCAAAATCCATTAAATCACTCGGTTTACTTTCTGTTATATCATGGTCTTTCAATTTTGCCAAGCTGGCCACCAATTGTGCTTGCTCATGTTTTTGCGTTCCAGTTAGACTATACGGCAATTCAATTAAAATTATATCACGAAAACCTGGACTATTGTCTGACACTTTAGCCGTAATTGAGAAATTAAATTCATGTTCGTAACCAAGATCCTTAGTTAGAAATATATACAACTTCTTCCATGGTTTATTATGTTCAGGTAAAGTATTAACTGTATATCGCTTGACAACCTTACGAAGGCTGTCATTGATGTTCACGCTAATGGGAAATTTAACATCCTTGGTCATCTTAAATGACACCCTCGGATTTGTGTCGGGCAATTTGTTGGCAGTCAGCATATTTTCGCTTGTCCAACCTTTTCCATCGTTCAAATAGACGTTACAAATTATGTCGCGCATA